GGTAAACATTCAGAGTAGCTTGGGTTACCGAAGAATTTTAATTCAATGTCCTCTTTCGCCTTTCGAAATAACTACCATTCACAGTGTGGTATTGAAGTGTTACAGTTGGAAAAGGCATTCTTAAACAAATACATTGAACAAAACTTAGTATAAATTAACTCTACTTTATTTATATGAATATGAATCACAGATAAAAATAAATATATACAACATGTTTTAGATAATTTTATACGAAATCTCGCACTCAAGCTTTCCTACTCAGCTGGTGAAGATAAATATTAAATCAAAGTAACTTGATCCATTTAAAAAATAGCCAATGGTGCTTACAAGAAAATTTTTGGAAAAAAATATATACTAAATAAGATACGTTATAATTATTTGACTCAAGTTGTTATTTTTATTAAATATAATGTTGAAATGAAAACAGATTTTGTTACGACATTTATAAAAGATGTCTTACTTCATCTATTACTAAAACAGGTTTGTATACCAATGTCCTTTAGAAACAAATCATTACAAATACGTAGACCATGTTGATGTGAGTCCTTGTGTTTATATTTATCTCCAGTCTTACTGCCGTGGCTCGTTGTTGGCTTACTAGCATCTTTGCATTCAGAACGCTACATCAGTGAAGCTATTACTGCTGCATTCAATGTAGATAGTTACTAGAATGGTGAACGTGAGTTTGAAGTGTGAATGCAGCTAGGAGGAGACTACTGCAGAGAAGTTAATCTAGCAAATCCTGAGATGTTTGTCAAATCTGTTTTCAAGTGACTAATCGATTTTTATATTTAATAAATTTTAAATTTGTATCTACATTTACCTAACTACGCTATCGAACCTAAACAACCTAAAGTGTTTCCCACTTTGATTACACTTTATACATCATATGTCCTAAAAATATTATACGAAAATACAATAAAACAAAATAATCCCTTAACTAAAACAAGGACGTTTATTGTAGGCTAAGATGTATATTTGTGATTAGTTTTAGTTTCATAATTTTTTTATAATTTAGTAAGTTTTCATTTACAAAACATGTATTTATTCATGGTAATTTTACCTAACCTGGTTGCTCAAAACAATCTTAAACTGTAGGTTTACATAATATCCAAACACAATATACTGTATGTGATAAGCCCGGAGATCTATAATAAAAATCTATATTTTCAAAAAGCCATAAAATACGTTTTAAATTTAATTTTTTGGTGTTGAAAAATAACATTTTAAATAATTAAAAATATTGATTAAAGTTCTCTCTGAAAAACTAAGAGGAAGCAATATTTCTTGAACTAAATTTAAATCGCTCGGCAGATATTTTCTCTAATATTCTTTTATAAAACATTTAAATAATTCAGTAGTTTCATCATGAAGTTTTCAGTAAAATTGTTGGTATAAAACACCAGGCCTTGCTGTTTACGACGTGGTTTACTTTCCTGTGATTTCGGTACAGTTTTGATATTTGATGAAGGTTGTCATAAAAAACAAGTCTACTGCAACCCCTTGACTTACACCTAAGTTTTAAATTTTACCCTCCAAAATTTATTTAAACACTCAGTTATAACATTGTAAAGCACCACCAGTGCAGAAACATTTAAATTAAAGAGTTGAGGATTTTGTGAAAAGGCTACTTTAAGTTAATTTTGAATTGGATTAATTATGTCCATTTAAACTACTAACAATAAATTTCAAATTGCTTACAAAACGTGTTCAGCCATTTGCTATCCTATTTCTCTTAGACAATACAGACAGATAGTAATTAAAACAATACAAAACTTTCCCACCACAACATTATTCAAGCGATTTATGAAATAAAATTTACAATAAAATAACAATGTCCACATATTGAGAATAAATGTTAAATTTATTAGTATTCCGAATAAATAAACTCTAAATTTGTAAAGCGGCAGAAGGTTAATGATCTATAAGCACATGTGTTACAACAAAAAAGTTCTTTAGGTATAAACATTAGCCACGGAGAAGTACAGATGTGTTGCTATATTGGACTATTGTGAGGCCCATTAAGGTACTGTATGGTCCAATATCTCTTTTATGGGCTCTTAAGCCGAGACATCATTCATAGTTATCATTTTCATCACCTTCTATGATTTATAAACCGTTCATTAGGGCTTTATTACTCTACGCTGAATTTGGAAAGATATGTGCAAACCGAACCCCTTTGACATTGAACAAGTTTTGCTTAAAAATATATTTTAGATAATAAACATGATAACATTTTTATTGCAATGAATATACACTTATAAGATTCACAAAACGTCAAACTTCAAAATGTGTCATAATTTGTACCATATTGATCACAGTAACTTTGTTTTTTTTTCCTCAGTCGTAAATAAAAACACGGCTTTAGTAGCATGCACTGGTTTCATTTTCTGAAACGTTTTAAAGTATTAAGCTACAAACAGCACTCAAGCTCAATTATCTACCAAACCTTGGTGTGCTGCTGCGGCAGTTCTTTAATTAAAGGTAAACATTCAGAGTTGCGCGAGTTACCGAAGAATTTAAATTAAATTTCCTGTTTGATCTTTGCCTTTCTGAAAATTAGCATTTACCTTTAGTAGTTGGAAGTAAGTGGAATGAATATATGCGTACTATTGATTAAAAGTACACTGATAAAGCATTCTTAAAATACCGTTTTCAAGACCACTATTTTCGTTTTGTTAATAAAAACAGAAATTAATAGGTTCACATGTCAGCATTTAAGTATTACCGTTTAATACGTTTGATGAGTCATACAAGTACTCGATAATAAACTTAATGCCAAATAGATTTTATTTATGTTTTTATAAGTGTCGTTATGATTTACCTTAAGAAATATGATAGTTTATAAAAATATACTTGGAAATAATTAAACTAAAGTATATACAGTTACGGTTGTGCTCCAATACGTCATTGATTGATGTAATATATTAAGGGCCAGAGTTGAATTACTCTTAATACCCCCGCCGCAGCAAACCTGCCGTCTAAGCGAATTTCCATTTGGCTGAATTGATTTTCAATTGATCTATTTAAATAACATTAGGTTTAACGAGTACCTAGGTTTGCTGCTACAAGGAAACTAATAAAGTGTGTGTTTTGAGTAAAATAATTATTGGTTAGTATAAAATGAATATATTTGCCAGGTTTGATCAAAAGATTTCCATAATCAAGCAAACTACAGCATTTTACAACATTCTCCATAAGAATAACATGGGAATTTTAAATGTACCATTTTTTTTAGTTTTCTCCATAACCAATAACCGTACAAAAACACTTTGATGTACTGAATTGTTTGTTTTTTGAAGCTCTTTAAGAAGGTTTAGAGAAAAATTGGGAAATTTTGTTTTTTGAGGGTCAAAAGTGAGAAAACCCAATTTTTACCCCATAAAACTCCCCATAAAACCCTGTTCCCATGGTCCGATTGTGCTGGATCGCGAACTCATTCAAGTGTATCCCGCCTTACACCTTCAAACCAAATTTCATCAAAATCGGATCAAACTTACTCAAGTTATCGTATTCACGGACACACATATATATATATATATATAAAATTAAAACATATATAACAAAGTACCCTTTTAGTAATTATTTTATTTTATTTTATTTTATAAAAATGCAAGAAAATAATATATATATATATATATATACAGTATATATATAAATATATATATATACATATATATAAATATGAACGAATGGTGTTTTTGGCCTCTTGGGACACCAAAATGAAAAAGTAAATCGGTCCCGGGCGTAAGTCTTACCATGAGACCTACGGTAATAGCTACTTCCATAGGGAAATTCGCTAAAATGATTTTAGTTTATTGCATGATTAGTATATAAACATAAAAAATAAGTTATAAACTTCCTGTCATACATCCACATAGAAATGTATTTTAATTAGTCACTGATACAGTGTACGCTAAAGCGAATATAACCCGTCAGGCTTTTCAGTTTAGGGCAGACCTTGCTGCAATTCCCCAACAGTTTTGGTCTTTGATGTAGGTAGTTTTACAGCAAAACAAGTGTTGCGCAACCTCTTCAGTTTTTACACTTAAGTTGCAAATTTTCACTCTGTAAAGTTTATTTGTACCCTGCGAAATGTTTTGTAAGGCATTAGCTTTGCAGATATATTTTTAAATTGAATTAGTAACAGGATTCTGTAAAGGCTACCTTTAATTCAATTTTAATTGGATTAATAAGTTTTGGGTTAATAGTTGCATGTTTTATGAAAAGAGTTTCCGAATAATAATTATGTATGATAGTTATTAACAAATAAGTTTAAATTATGACAAATTATTTTTTTACTTTTTTATTCAAACACATACAAAATTTATATCTCGGTATTGTTTCCTAATAACGAAAAACCTAATACAGTGGTACAGTTACTAAAGTAATAATTATATGAGTAACAATCTTAAAATTGCTTTATTTACATTGCGTAGGCGTACAGTTGATATCTTTGTGTGATATTGTATCCTGAATACAATGAAATGTAAGGAAATCATTCTTCGTTCAATATTTTTTGTAAAAGACATTAACAAAATTTATACAATTAAACTTATTTCCGATTAAATCAAATTTTTAAGCTAAAATGCTCCTTACAATTTACTATCCTTTGCGTTTAATAAAAAATGCGTTTTAATATAGTGTTATAGAATAATATTTTAAATACTCGTATGTATCTAAAGACGTCAAAGCTAAGATATATTTTATCCTTAATGCGAATTAAAGATGGGTTTGATGTGAGTTAAAAGATTATTTTAAATGTCACATTCTTAAAGCTACTTCATTGTAACTAAGACTTATTATTTACTTAATCAGGATCTTTTATTGAAATCATTGCCATTAAGTAAAGGCAGGCTCAGTTATTAGCCATTTAAAGTTAAGTTTACCTACTTTTGCACCTTTGCAACCTTGAGATGTAAGCAATATAACAAATCAGCCACCCAAGTATTATTTTTCTTCGCAAGGATTAAAAGTAACGACTAAGATATGGGGTTTTATTTGTTTATTCACGTCATAAATTTAATACATTGCATATATTGTACTTTACTTTTCATTTGGTAAAAAATATAATAATATATTTGTCATAGTATAATATCACATGTTAACAAAATATGTTATTTGTATTCAAGACATACACTACTATCTTTATAATACAACAACGCATCACAATTATTGTGATAAAATATAATATTATCTAGTATGTAAAATTGTACCTTACTGTACACTTTGTACAACAATATCAATGATATAAAACAAGTCTAGTATTACACGCTATTAATAGGCCTACAGTTAAAATTATAAGTTAAGAAATGCTCAATGTTAAAAAAGGAATTTTTGACGCTTTTAAGTAAAACTAATAAAGAACTTAGCGTCAAAAGTTAACAAATTGGCCGAACTAAGCACAAGTTTTTTTCAATCCCTTTTTTGCAACGATTTTGTCACTTATTAAACAGCAATTACAGATAGTATCAACAAACCCATTCGTGTTAACATAACCATACAATATAAAATAGAAAACTTTGCATGGCTATAACGTTATACAGCACTGTATCGACTACTCCATTTGAGCTTTCAGGCGTTTATCAACCATTTTAATACCGGATGTAGGCTAAAAGTCTTTAAAAATACTTTCAAACCTTTAAGTTAAAAATTTTTATTTTCATGACATTTTACCCTCTACAATATAAACAAGTTCCAACAAAAATGTATAGTTTGTACATAATTAGTTTTTTACCACGTGCACTCTTTAGAACATTTAGCGTTAACAAATTTAAGCGATATTTTAAACTTGCACTAAGATATTTCGGCAGTCGGACCTAGTACCAATAGTCTACGTCGGACCAATGTAAAGTCGTCAGGTTGGATGATATGCTTGGGTGAGTTGAGGACTTTGTTTGGGAAGTCGAACTAGTCTGGCCCTGAGTTTCTGTACTTAAATCATCTCGAACTTCGGCTACAGTTGACACAGAATTTGTTCCAAACGTTTCACTTGTGAAACTTGGCTCTTCTGACGAAGTAACAACTTCGTCCGACGTGAATATAGTTTCTGGTTCGTTTGTGAGACTTTCGTCTTCGGAAGTTATTGGAATTGAATAATCCCATTCAGTTGGTTTTGTTTGTTCAATATATACACCCGTGGTGTTTGAAATCGTTACATCTTCATCAGAAGGACTGAGAGTTGTTTCATGATAAATTCTCTGAGGTTCCTCCACAACAATATTTTGTTCATCTTGTGTTGTAGAGTTTTGATCTTCGCTGAGACCTATATAGACGTCTTCAGTCTGGGTAGTTTCTTCTTGAGCCTCAGTAGTGTTGGCCTCAGGTCACACATCTCTGTAGTTTGTACATTCCGGGACAGGTTGGGACCAGGTGCCGTCAGGCTGACATAAGGGACGTGCGTCCAGACGGGACACGTAGCCAGCGTGGCACGTGACCTTCAGATGATCCCCGGGGTCATAGGCAAACTTGAGGGGAACGATCCTTCCATTGGCTGGCTCCCCTGGGTAGTCACACTTTGGCTTGCCTAAAACATAGAACATGTTAGAGATATGGTCCAACAAACATAATGATAGGTTAGTTCGGTATTATTGTTGAAATGGAAAGGGAGAGAGCTCTAGGGAAGGGTCTAGTGGTATGGCTCGGAGCTTTAAAGCCTGAGGCCCCGGGTTCAAATACCGCCAATGGCCTATGGATTCTATCTATCAGATAACGCCCTGACCCTCCAGGACTAGCCTGAAGTAATGTGTAAAACAGTTCTGGGCTAGAACCAAACGTCCTATGATGCACACCTAATCCTTAAATAAAAGCTAACTTAATCAACCACCAATTCATTAATGTTAATGTCACAGTGGGGTTGAATTTTTTTTTTTTTTGTATGGAAACGCTAGGCGTGAAGCGTCACAAAACGTTCATATAAACATTGATGAGAACTTTGATTCCAGGATAAGAATAATTTAAGCTCGATTTAAAAGGGTTCTTGTCAAAATCACTAGTTGATTAACACACGTCTTCCAGAGCTTTCCGGTCAGGTAATGGTCATTTCAACCACATGTTAATCCAGTAACTTTAACCTTCAAAAACATTAAGGCAAAGTTGGATATACAAAAACAACTACTGTTCACTGCCGCTATGCACTCACAGAATGGCGGAGGATGCGACCAAACTCCAGTTTCTATGCAGACGATGCTGGCCTCACCAACAATCTGATGTCTCTCATTGCAGGAGAACTGTATGACAGCGCCTACTCCGTAGATGCCAGGGGTAGCGTCCTCCACCAACCGACCGTTGAGAGGCACGACTGGAGCTGGGCATCGTATGGCTGTAACCACAGAAGAATATGAGGTATAATATTATATTTTAAAATCAAAATTGCAATATCCTGGGATTTACAGCCAATTTTATATAAATTGGGTGCTGGACTATATCATTTTATTATTTTATAAACAAGATGGTTCTACAAAACCCAAACTAAGTACCCCTAGTAAAGGATAGATTGCATTGCTAAACACACTGTAATTTTACTTACTTACTACTAAAATATCACAAATGTTACTCGAAAATATTTCTTTTATTTATTTAAATACATAGCCGAATTTATTAAGGCTGTTAAATGTCCCAAACCTTAAGAATATTAATAATTCATTAAATTAATTAAATCATTGAGGTACGTATCTAGTAGCCACTACAGTGGCTAATTTTTTGTATGTCCCACGTTCACATCCTAGGACGCTAGGTTCTAATCTAAACAGTTACGGACTAGAACCTAGCACCCTAGTATGTGAAGGTGGGACATAACGAAATTAGCCACAATAGTAAAAAAGATTACCAGTAAATGTTTAGAAAACAGTAGCCTAATATTCTCTTGAAAGGACCATAACAATACGAACCTTTACAAGAGGGCATGGGCGCTGACCACTGTCCGTTCAGTTCGCACTCCAGCCCCGGCTGCCCCACCAGTTTGAACCCCCAGGGGCAAGTGAAGACTGCGCGGCCTCCGTAACTGGTGTTGTACTCGGACAGTCGCAAGTAGGGGTCGTGGGTGGCGAGCTCTGGACAGACGATGGGCTCACATCGGGGCAACGGCGCGGACCACCGGCCTGATAAAGAGAGAGTTAGTAGGAACAATAAGCAGATTAGGTTAAAATAAGCCTTATATTTATGTATCAAGAACATCATCTGCACCATTTCATCACTGTAGTCACCACAGCTTAGCCTAGGTAATCTAAACACTAACACTAGACTTCACTATCTCCTGACCACCACCCAATCTATGATGGTGTTAGTCTACGGAGATGGTTCAGGTAACAAATATAAGAGAGATTCGTAGAAATTAAGTACTAGTGAACCCTCATTAACATGTACCCCATTGATATTGACCTTGCTTATTTTACACAACCACTTGACAGGAGGTTGTAAACATTTCACACAACCAAGGTATAAATGCTCCTCTAATGAAGCATGCAGTTGTTTGCACTGTTTGCATCAGTAGTTATTTTTTTATTGAGAGTACACTTTCCAAGCGTCTGTGTAAGATGTTTATATGCAAAGGGGGTTCAAATGGTCCTGGGAAAGCTCTCACTTTTATTGCTTCATATAGACTAGAATTTATTCTGTTTAATCAGGACTTGCCTTAACCTGGACACCTTGAATTCTCAATTGGTCCAGAATAGTCAGAACTTACTGTGCACTAAATATGAACACATGAGGTTTCCCACTGATTGAGTACACATACTACATTACACCGGGTGAATCTCGCAGGATCTCCATTAAATTAAGTACTATTATACATAATTTTATTGCTAATGATAGCAGCTACAACTTTTGTTCGAAACATAGTTTCATAAAACGTCAGAGAAAAATGTTAGGGCGACAAAAATAAAATTATGTGTATAAAAAAAATTTAATAATTTCACGTTTACATAAATAACGAACAAACGGTAACAGCTACGATAAACGTTAGCTGAACATCAAGGTAGGACATGTTATAACCAAGTCAATAAAACAAATTGCAATTCAATATGTTGTTCAACAATCTAGAAAAACGTGATTTACGAAACCCTTACACTTTATATGTTTAGGGGGGGAAGCAAGGTGGGTAGGGGTAGGGACTTTTGGCTGAACACTTGTCTAAATGGTAGTAGTCGATGGACAACAAAAAATCAGCCCTTTAAAATTTTTTACTTCCTAAAAACGCAGGTTGACTGGACTAGTTAGTAAGTAAATTAAAATTATTATTCCATCATTAGTTTGAAGAAAAGTTGTTTTAGTTTTAAGTATGCTCCAATATTTAATGTAACCATAAATATGTGGTCATTTTTTTAGATTATATCTGTAGAATTATATATTATCAAGGTTAGTTGTTAGTCTATGGTACAATACGATCCAGAGTACATTTACTCGCTAGGTTACATTTATAAAGTATTAAAGATTATATTAACATATAAAATCAGTCCAGAGACTTTTAAATTTACAATTTCAACTACACTCGGCACTTTGTCTACGAAAGTGTTGCAATCTTCTTGGTCAGGCTATGTACTCTTTTAAATGACCTCAATTAAGTTTTCTAGTTTCATAAATTCATTCACACAATTCTTCAAGTAAATTTATCGAGTAACATTTTCTTTTGGCCATGTTCAATAGAGTGGGGATGGTATTGATCGCATCAATTAGGATGGTATGGTGACGGGGCGAGTGCGGTAGAGACAGAAAAGCCCTAACAATCCTCCCCTATTGTGAATACAAATGAGATCCAACTGCAATTTTTTTGACGAATTGATGAAATAACAAAAGTGATGGTGGTTAGAGAAATGAAGTACCATGTGCAATGTCTATCCTGCATGGTTCAATGTATACCTGACGCCTGGCAAGTTAGGTTGGAGGTGCCGTTGAGCCGAAACCCCAGAGGACATTGGAAGTACGCCCTTTGACCCAGCTTGTTGCCCTCTATCCTTGATTTAAGATGGCGGTCTGGTGACGTGACATCCCTCAGGTCACACTCTACCGCTAAAACAAAAAACACAACTTATATTACTGTCATATTATTGTTAATAAAACATAGAATAGCCTGTTAGACTAATCCAAGAAAATAGGATAGGTCTAATTTAAGATTCAATTCATGTTTAGATGTACAGTTTCTTTTGTAAGAGTTCAGATATTTACTCTTAAATTTTGAGGGGTGTATTTGTTGCATTATAGAACTAAAAATAAACATTGAAAATGTCAATAAAGTTGGAAAAAGACGTAGATCGAAACGATTTCTTCTAAAAAGAACCAGCAGTCAAATTACATTTACTATCACCATAAGTTTAAACCTCGTTCCTTCCATCAATTTGCACAAATACGTTTTTATTAGTTTATAATGCTAGAATAAATACCGTATAAGATCAAAGTTTGTAACTTAACTAAAATATTATTTCCCTTCGTCTCACCTAGGACCTGGACGTTAAGGCTGTTGGTGAGACCCCTTGGAGTCTGGCACGTAAAGACTCCCGTGTCTTGGGGCTTAGTGTAGTAGATGGACAGTCTGTACTTCCACTCTCTCTCCTCCGCTGCGATCGCCCACCCTGCATAATAAAACTTACAATATTATACTACAAATAGGACTACAATCCATACGCTTCCATTTTATAAACCCAACATAAGCCTCATCACCACTACCACCACTACAACAACCACCTTCTTATTCTTAGTCTTCAGTGGCTGTCAGTTGACGTCTTGTACATCAGAGGTTTTCAATTCGTCTTTACAGCTTATACAACTTAAATTCAAGCTTATATACTTAATTTTCCATTGTTCATAATTAATTTTAAAAAATATACATTTTATTTAGTTGTATTTATGTTTTGTTAATAGTTCATAATTTCACTATGAAATCTAATGTAAAGAAAACGACCTACTACTTGTTTCGTTTTTGGTAAAATATTTCGTATAGTAGATCATTGCAATCAACTTTCATTTGGGCAGACTAATAGTTTCTAACATGAATAATATTTATCACTAAAAGGTTAATGACATCCATTTCAACTATTAAGCTAACTTACTAGTTCACCGATTGGTTATTTTGCTATTTAGGCTCCACAAAATATGGATGGGCATGATCATGGCATGTACCTTAACCATCGACCTCAGTGTAGTCGATACTATAGTGGAGTCTGGTCTATTTGACTACATTGTAACTACACTGCAACTCCTAACTAATCTACACTACTTTCCAAACAAATTACTTTTAGTTATAGTAAATAAATAATAAAATAAAAAAGGTAAGTCAAAGTCAAAAAGATTAGCATTATCATTTCGTTTTCTAATCCATTACCCTAGATTTATAAATGTAAATTTTTAAAACGTATTTCATTAATATGAGCGTAAAGTGATAAGAAAAGCGCAAATCACAGACTCATGAACAATGTGGAAGCTAAGTGGATTCAGGACCGAGACTGTTGTACTTAGGAATTCATGGCTTTAGCAATTTCATCCAGAAATAAAGGCATGACCACAGTCGAGTTTTATGAGGGAAATGCAGAAAGCCATAAAACTATCTAGGTTACAAGATACGGCGTCACTTCGGTGTCAAATAACCTGGAATGGCAAGACACCGAGGACTTTATGGGGAATAAACTGGCCAAAGCCATCATTTGACTTTATCTTTCAATCAGGATAGAATACAGAATCCACTTGATATTCTCATCAGAATAAAATGCAGTAATCAAGCCCCTCTTTCTTTCGTTGATTCAATCAGTTCTTATCTTTGTACTATGGATATACATATTTATGGATATAATTATTGCAATTAATTAAAAAAATAAGCTAACTATCACGTCACATATCTAACAATCCTTAAGGGAGTGTTTATTTTGTGTAAATCTTGATTGATGCACTTTTTTAACAGGTTGATGGTCTCCTTAAATGTTGCATTTGCCAAACATTATGGACATCAAAAGCTACTTTGAACGTATAAAACAGAAGGGCAGTTATTGTTATACAAAATGAACTTTACTAATAAACTTTGATCGAGGTAAGTAGGTAAATATGTTATAATATTTAACTAGGTGAAAGGATAAAATCGTTTGAACTTTCTAATACTTTCTTAATTACACTTAGTCTACCTGAAGTAAAATTTAGTTTGCTACTGATTGTTTTTGCCAAGGTCGTATACAACTAATTAGTGGGGTACAATAAGAACTTTACTGATAAATATTAAGGGTAGTTTTCACACTGATGTGATTGTATAGATTCCTAGAATGTATACAATCATAAATTACATTGCTCATGAATAAAATTTACTGTATATACAAACCTGTGAGATATTGTCGGTAGGTGGAGGTCCAAGTCCACTCAGGGTTGCCAATCTTCCTAGAGAACAGGCAGTCCAGGTGGAGGATTGTCTCCGGAAACACCGCCAACACTCCGGACGGTTCTACTGAGGCGGAGCCTGAGGGTATCCTGATGAGGATGGTTGGGGGAGAGTCCTCTGTTGGTAAAGGACGATGGTTAGTAAACAAAGTGAAAAAAGAAACACTTAAGAGTTAAATACAATACTATTTCTAACTATTATTGGCATTTATCATAGATTAGCACTCCACAATCTGTATACAGAATTTAAGATTTTTACTTGGATTTTCAAGTAAAAATATACTCTATTTTGGTCTATATTTTTCATATTATTCATGGATGTACAAATATCTAAAAAGGGCTTAGGCAAGATAAGTAAAGTTTAAAATAGGTATTGTCTGATCAATTAAGCAAATGAAAAGGGAAATATGCTACTTTTCAGTGATTATGTTGTTTAAATGAATAAAGCTTGGTAAAATAGTATATATCGTAAAATACGTTTAATTTGTTGCAGATTAAATCAAAGAAAAGTGAAACCTAGGTATTTCTTAGGAATAAAAAAACAGTATATTTTACATAACTAACGTGACTCGTTTTAACACGGGATCAAATTAAACTACATACAGTAAGTAAACGGCTGTCAAAAGCTTTATTCTTATCAAGTTAATCTTAATGGCAATTTTTAGCGTATATTTAACAATTTATCAAACATAGTATGTCATTTATGTTAAAATATAATTCACGAAAAATATTTATATCATGTACTATTTTATGCTAAATAGAGTATGTTAACAATGTTGTCGTTAGTATTCGCTTTTATAAAAAGAATAGCCGTTTCCCCTTCTATTATCCTGCAAATTAGTTTGAAATCTAAATAAAAATAAAACTAATATTACTTGGGCATACCCATTGGTCTGTATACCATTTAAATCAAAATCAACCAGATTATGATAAAAATAAGATACTATCAATATGTTTAGCCAATACAAATCCACAAGTTTACTACTTCAACTATTTTTAGAGGAATTAAATCTTCGAAAAATATAAGAACCATAAAAAATCTTATAAATTTACTCCTTACAATGTAACCTACCGGTGTAGTTGGTGAGGAGTGTAGTGGGTATACAGGAAGGAAGTCTGTAGTTCCACAAGCCGTTGTTGCATTGCAGTTCTGACTCTCCCAGGAGTTTGTACATCCCCAGAGGCTCCTTGCAGCGGAACTGAGCCACGGAGTTGTGTGGAAACACCTCATTCTTCGGCTGAAACATCAATACATTTAATCAGAGTGATAATTCGGAATGAATATAATAAAAAATGTAATGCTGTTTGGAAACATTCTATCAAATCTATAATTTATTTGATGAATGGATAGATTATTTTTGTTGCTGTAACAATAAAGGTGATCTGGTTTAGCTGTGCTTTTGCTGGTCTAGTTGTTGTAAACCGGGACCTCGATGTTTGAGTTCGTAGTTCGAACCCCGCAAACCACCAAAGGCTTTAAGATAAGTAATAACATCGATATTTGGTGGTTCAAAACCTACTGTACCTTGGTCTACAAATGTATACAAAAATAAATATTTTTTCAGAGGCAGAGGCATTTGTGTCCTAGAACTTCCTCTACTAAAATTCATACATTTATTTTTTACATAAATCAAAGCAATTCTGCTTGAAAACATTTTCCATTAGAGAGCTTTAAGTATTTAGATTTAAATTTACAACTTATGACTTTGACGTGAGAGGTTACGATATAACTTATATTATAAATGTCTTTGACTTTGGAAAAGGAATATAAGTTATGCTTTAGTCTAGAACGTTCCAATGCTGATGGCGTATTTTGCTTAGTGTACATTTATACACTTTACTGAGAGTGCAATAGAGATGTGTGTTAAGATCCGTTGTGGGTTATATGACTTTGAGAACATAGAGCGAGTTCTGCCCGCGTTGTATTGTTTGATAATGTGCCAAGCAGACAAAAGCCTCATCAACCCAATCGTGTTCTCAACCCCATCAGCATAACATTATCCAATTATTTAGTATGCTATTGAATAACTTATCTTTAAGTACACTAGTTCTGCAGTACCGCATGCAACTACATGACTATCTTCAAACTTATTTCCACTAAAATGGTTTTCTAATAATATTACTCTTCAGTGAAATAAAGCTAAGAATTATACTTTAAGTAAGAATTATAATTGATTCCCAAGGTTTAATAATAACTATTGTACATGTTGCTCGAAATCGAGCAATTGCAAAGAAGTACAGGAGTTACATATAAACAAATGACTTGTTAAAAAACTAATAACAGTCATAATTTCCGATTATTTTAAAAGAGTCAACTAAAAGATTATTAACTAATGGAAATACTCACAATTTACATAACAGTCCTATTAAAGGGTTATTTAAAGGGTTATTTTTTAACTATCAAACTGCCCATGGACGGGAAATGGTAAGCTTAGGCCTACAATTTAAGTCAACATAAAAAGTCTGTCAGCTTTTATAATGTACTGTACCTAAGTTATTTAGCCAATTTGTAGACAATAAGGTGTAGGCTACTTTAAACTCTACAGAACTCTCATGCTTCCATGGGGAGCAATTAATTATTAATATTTAATTCCTGACAACAGCTGGAGTTTCAAAACAATGTTTGTTTCCCATGTTAATCTTATGGAGAAATACGAAACTTTAAAGGGTCCCAGGGCCTCACTCTCTAATTATTCACCTAAAAAGGAAGTTTCTTGCACAACTTCACGTTACGCTCTTTCCAATGACATCAAAAACATGTCAATCGGTTCAGTAGTTTCGGAGGAGTAATTGTCACAAAAATCCTGCTTGCGTATTAAATAAGTAATAGAATAGATAATTGATAAGGGGTTAGCTGTAAAAAGCGTATATGATATTTTACTATGAGCATACCTTGTTTAGTCTATTGGAGTTTTAATTCCTACACATTCTTAACGTATCAATACTAAAAATTGACTGAGTTTCATTCTTAATTTGAAAGAGTTTAGTGAAAAATAAAATTATGCCTCTACATCCAAAATTATAAAATATTAATCGGATTTGTTTTAAAATATCTAAATTATTGATCGACATTATGTGTTCCGGTAAAACATGCATTGTGTGTAAAAAAGGCAATCTTAAATTATAAGATGACCGTTGAAAAATAAATAAGGATTATTATTTCTTTTCAGAACAATTTTGTTAAATATTCGAAGGGCTGATCGATGTAGTGCACCGACCTTTGACCTAAAATCTTGTTACGTCGATGCGTCTGTTTGAGAGGAGTTTTCTCTCATGCAGCACTTTAGCCCTTTGAAGCAACTTCGTCGACTTTTTACTATTTATCTGAGTGAGGCAAGTGTAACACTGAACATAGCAATGTAAATTAAATCAAAATATCTATAAAATTAGAGTTGATTTTAAAATATGACAGCTAAGTTTACTAAGCCTTAATTAATTTTGATACAACCAATTTTTTTTTTAAATATAGATGGCACTGTCTTAAATAAATACTGTAAATAGTAAAAATATTGCTAAATAAACATACTGTATATTTAACCCTTAACTTTTAGCTACTTACCGTTATAGTAATATTTCGATATGATATTATTGTGTGGGGTGGGTTAGTAATAATGGTACAGCTTCTCAGCAAAGGTTGAAACCTCGCTCCTCCAACAGCATCTGGAACAGTCGTACAGATATTGTCATGTAAATAAATTATGACGTTGTCTTACTTTTTGATATTCAACCAAATTTCTCAGAACTCTACGCAGAGTAAAAAGTAATTGTAATTGTTTCTGCCATCTACAGTTTTACTCGGATAAATTTAAACCTTCCAATCGAATAATAAATACTTTAGCTAACGCATTCATGATAGTGATAAGGTTAACATAACTATTCATAATTTCTTTTCCAAATTCGTAAAAAAGGTGCTATTCTTTGATTTAAATCACCATTAAGGTGATTTAATAATGTTTAAGAGTTGATTGTAAGAGTTAAAGAGTTTTTTTTTTAACATTGAAAATAATCTAAACATTTAGTCAAACACCGTTCAATAAACTCGTTAAGCAGTTACGGACCAGGGTGACTCAGAAGTATCTTTTCGATCTGATTGGCTAGCCTTTGATGATTCGAGACCAATCACCTGCCTCGACTCGCCACTGAAGTCACTGGTGTATTGCCTACGTGACGGTCTTACTGTCGTAGAGGCACTTTAGTGTCTTTAGTTCACCGTTAAGACGAATAGTCTATGGCTACGTGTAGCTGAGGTTGAGGCCTATCATATAAACTAAAGCTGCCACGATCCCAGATAGCAGTCTTATGACTTGTTTTTTGCTCGGGGGCTCATGCAAGTCATCGAGTTGTATTACTTAATGCAAAAGATTTTTTTTTTATTACCTTGGTCCTGCTGACAGAGGGGACCAACCCACTCTCCACCGATGCACTTGATCTTGCATACTCTCTTGAGTGGCCCGAACTGAACGGGGGCGGGAAACTCAGCGGAGAAGCGCACTTCCCCCACAGTGGAATAGTCGGGGGCGGCACTGGCGCGGGCGGTAACTCGGCGTCCGTGGAGCGTGAGACCTGGGGGCGGACAGCCACTGCCCTTCCACTCGGAGGGGACTGTAACAGAGATAAATATATGTAGTGGGGATTAAAAGAGAGAAGAACATCCGTAGCATGAAGAAAATTGTATGTGGTAGGGATAAAGGGTATAAAGTACAGATGTCAGATATGTATACTATAAGTCCAGAACTTATAGATCCGGAGCTCAGCAACCGGCCCTTAAGTATTTTAAAGTCGAAATAAGAGTAGCTATGTGTGTATCATGAGTGAAAACTATGTCATTCCCTAAAAAGATCCAGTTGACCATTTCGAGAGCGGCAATAACTGTTTGTACTTGTAATACACACAAAAGATCCTTCTACCACCATAATTGACTTATCATTACACATATATTAACTATTTAGTTGTACATAAAATATAATTTAGGTTGTGTTTGCCTTTTTCTCTATTCATAGATGCATTGACGGATTAATGTTTTATAGAAACAACAACAGTTAAATCTGCTGCTTTATCGAGCAGGAACGAATAAAGTGGAAATGGGCTATTTTTCGTATTGTTTACAGGTGTAGATATGTGATCATTTCCTTGCAATAGTAAGAAAAATACGTTCTAATGGCAAAATTATAGTATGTTTAATGATTATAAGACCCAGCCACTCTTGGCATAGGTGGCCAAGAGCGCAAACTTCCAGCCTGGAGATCTAGGTACAATCTCCACCAATTACGTATGGATATTTGCTATATAACAGAAACAGGGACTGTTGTGTAGACATTTTAAATAAAATAAACATACACTTTGGTCTTTGGTATAGAGGAAAACATTCTATTGATAGGAAAACTCCATTCATAAAAACTAATTACAAAGAACCTTTTCAGTAAATAAAAAAAGCAATAAACCTGTTGTTACGAGTGACAAAAAAAGCACGTAGGTTAATCGTATGGGCAATTAACTGTACATAACACTGCTGAACTGTAAACATTCCAAGAATACATGAGTGTCTTCTCATTTTCGCCTTACGTTCTTTATACCATCATGTTCTTTGCTCAGTTTCCCTACTTTCTAGTAATTTTTCTTTTGAGTTTAATGTTCTGTTGCTAAATTAAAGAAAATTTGTACCTCAATAGCGGAATATGTTATTTACGAACCTTATGGTTGTACAGACCTTGTAATTTCCTTGTCCATTAAGATCGTCTGATTAAAAGACAAGAAATTATATCTGTTTTTGTCAAGTGAAAAAAGTATCTTTTATTACAATTATCCAATCAATTTCTATTAAAATGGTTATGGTAATTCACACAGTTTTTAGCAAGGGGCAATAGCAATCATACCAACGAGCTACTTATTAGTATAAATACACAATTTTTACTTAACTTCACATATGTTAAAATTATATAACAATCCTATGCGGACGTAAATAATTCCTAATTGTGTCAAGGAATATTATATTGATGTATATAAGAATGCATTGATGAATATGAAGGCGAAATACGAGAATGCTATGATTATCTCAAAGAAGTGAAATTAATATAGCTAATTGATTTACAAATTTATGACTGCCTTACATTAAGTACAAGTTTAAAAAGATTTGTGAATACATGAATTTCACCTTAATATGACCCAATAGATATCTGGACCCTAAGAATTTATTTAAGTGTTTTATGTGTATATTCTTGTTTTATTTTATACCTTTAGTAAACAAAATTTTGATGATAATCTTACTACTTCTGACATTAAATCATATTCACTTTTAATTAATTTAGCCATTCACAAAAGGTTAAAGGTGTTCAGAAAAGGATGTGGTGTTGTTGGCGTAGAGGGATACTTCATTTACAAAAAGTGCAAGCCTCTTCAGGGTGACTGTGTTTGAAAATATATATTTTCCATTAATAAAATTAAATAAACCTACCAAAGTGGAGTGGTCTTCTGCAGTTACAAATGTTTGAATTGTTTGTTTAATATATTATTAATGTAACAATTATTACGTTGATATGTTTTTTTGTAGAACATACTTTTATACACTTTTTTTACTTGAAGTAGCTTACAAAGTAAAACACGTATCTTCTACGGTGGTAAAAAGGCAATTCCTTGTTTAAGAAAATTTACAAACCTAGGGAAACAGAAATACTATGGGTAGTGTACACAACATAATAACTACCTTACATTAAAAACCACCCGCTACATCTTAGTAATAATTTAGTAATAAATTTAGCCATTCACAAAAGGTTAAAGGTGTTCACAAAAGGATGGGGTGTTGTTGGCGTAGAGGGATACTTCATTTACAAAAAGTGCAAGCCTTTTCAGGGTGACTACGTTTGAAAATATATATTTTCAATTAATAAAATTAAATAAACCTACCAAAGTGGACTGGTCTTCTGCAGTTACAAATGTTTGAATTGTTTAATATATTATTAATATAACAATTATTACGTTGATATGTTTTTTTGTAGAACATACTTTTATACACTTTTTTTTTACTTGAAGTAGCTTACAAAGTAAAACACGTATCTTCTACGGTGGTAAAAAGGCAATTCCTTGTTTAAAAAAATTTACAAACCTAGGGAAACAGAAATACTACGGGTAGTGTACACAACATAATAACTACCTTACATTAAAACCACTCGCTACATCTTAGTAATAATATTTAGCTATGGGGATATTATTAAAACATATAAATTCATTTTAACCAGTCTTCGGGCATAACTGATTAGCATTGGATTGACATTTGAAACACTTCATTGAACCAAAGATGTTAAAAGTTTTAAATGAGAAAAATCATTCATCTCTAAATGGAATTTGATTCTATTTCGAATGCGAAGTGAGCTTGTTGGACAATGGTAAGTAGTCAACCATTGAAGCGTAGAACTTCTAAACTAAACTTCCATTCCAACCCAATAGTTTCTTAGCCATGTCTGATCATTGTCTTTCTGCTCCATAAAGTTCCTATTCATCGATATTCATTCAAGTTCAAAGTTATGATTTGACTTAACTTTGAGAGAAGCGCATTTTGTAACTGTATATAGTTTATAAACGATTTTCTTCCTATCAACTAATAAATTATGACAGTAGTTTAATCAGAACCACGAATACTAGAAAAATACCAGTATGAATCATAAAAATTTACAAACATACGCCTAAACAAACAATCCCCTATACTAATACAGTAGCATCATGGTTTTGTTTACTTTCGGGCCAAAAACGTCATTTGTTTATGTTTATGATCCATACCAGGTCTTTTCTAGTATTCGTGAGCAGAACTAATCATATACAAAATTTATTTTTGTATAATCTGGTATATTTGATCGGTTGAATGTATATTCCTCATAATTTTAATCAAGGTATGGATAATAGTAATCTCATAATATTGGTTTCACTTTGATATTGGAAACTTTAGCTTTTTAGATTCTTACAATATTTTACCTAGGGTCTACTTTATGGTTCTTATTACCTTTTTTACTATACGATTTGTAAATAAAATAAAAATGCTTGTTGTTTTCAAAGATTACTGTAAAATTGTTATGTAACTATATATGGTGATAAACTATGTCCACATTGGAAAGTATAGCATTGGTAAGCCCTAATTATTTAACTTTTTAACCTTGTTAATTTTGTTGTATAAAAACTAAAAGTAATCATATTTTTTCCAAAAAACTAGCTGGATAACAACGAAATTAGATCTTAGAAATTAGTACTGTGGTACGGTGATAGAGACGAAGCTACCTTTGACTAAAACAACCTTTAAACTGAAGATTTCATTGGCTTATACAAGGAACCAACTCTTAGTTAGGTGATGATTTATTTTTATAATGATTGTTGATAGTTATTCACCTTAGATAGGTAGTACAAATAAAAATTATGTCCACTCTTCTTGATTTACAATTGATTACCTTCAGTAGAGAGATAAATTGTCCAACTATGAGGGGGTTTATCTGAATTAGTTATTAAAAGATGGGTTTTACTTGAGTTCGTGTTTGTAGTCCTGGTTCATGTCACTGTTTAGGTTGCATTGTTTTAGGTGAGTCGGTGGCTCAGTCGGTAAGGTGACGGACTTCGGGCCTTAAGGCAGCGATGTCGTTGGTTCGGATCCTGGTCACTACCGTAATAGTATATTACGTTACTAGTCATGAAAATAGGTGTTTACCGGTGTCGAGTATGGGATTACCATACGAGTCCGGTAAACACATTTTGGACGAGTGATGTACGATAGTTTACGCCATACTACTAAATCTGTACAAATCCTTACATATTACCACCAACTAAAGGACTAAAAATCACTAGATTTCTGTTTATAATTCTAGATTCTAGATTTCTGTAGATGTTTCTGTTTATAACCATTCATTGCAACCTAAATACAGTATAATCAGCTGATTGGTGTCCGGTAAAACTCATTACAATACAGTAAGTAGTACGCAATGAAACCCCATTTGAATAAGCTGGTGGCAAACAGCTGTTTTCTGGACTAAATCCTTGCGTGGGAAGTTCCTCGAAATAATTTAGTGTGGTGTAAACATTTTATCAGGACAGTTCTTCTTCGTACTGTATCGGGTCACACCTTGCTTTGCTGTATTCGATCTACGCACGGGCAGTTAGTCTATGTGGACGGGCAAATGCAATGTTAAAAGAGGCCGCCTACCTCTTTAATTGAAAAAAATGAGTTTGTTCTATCCCATTTTGTTATAACCAAACTTTATATTACTGTAACTTTCTTCTCAGGTTGTCTTTACATTGTGAAATGTACCATCAATAAAGAGTTGTCATTCCTTACGATTAATGCAAGATACTATTGATTTATAAACACTTTTACCTTAATTATACCTTAAAGTTGTGGTATGATATCAGCTGTCTTGTTGCAATGCCATAAACACTTGTTTCCATAAGCAATTATACTTTAAAATAATGTTCACTCACTATATTTCAAATTTCAATAACTTGACAGAGAATACTGTTTCATATCAAACCTAGACAGAAAATAAATTGATCTATTATTCTTGGAAATATTATATGAATGTACCGTCAATATAGTATCAACACTATATCGATATTAAATTTAAATATAATCA